GACTCTCATCCCATATCCTTAATCACAATGCCTTTGGCCATATAAGGTGAGGTCTCCACAGGTTTCCTGCCTGCCACAAGCCTCCACCAGCCCCCTCACCCTTCCTCAGTCATTCATTCTCTCATTTTTCTGAGCATGACTCACCTACCTGGGCGAGGCCTGAGCTGAGCGAGGCAGCCTGTGACCCTGCCCCGAGAGAAGCCACTGTCCAGTGGAGAGGCAGCCACAGAAACAGATGCTTGTCATCGGGAAAGATGAGTGACATATGGCGGTAGAGGTTCTGTGATGTGACTGGGCGGCAGATCTGAGAAGAGGGGAAGGAAAGACTGGTTGTGTGCAGGGAAGAGAGTGCCCTGTGAGCCCTCTCCTGTCCCGGGACCCTTGCCTGGGGTTTGTGGGGACACAGACCTGGGCTGTGCTGGGGTATGAGGGAAGAAGCCCCAGCTAGAAAAGGTCTGTTCGCTGCAGCCAGATTCACTCCAATCCTTTATGGCAGGGGAGACGGAATGTGCTATATTAAAACAACACAGGTCTGCTGGGAGTGGAATGCAAAATTCACAAGGTTTCTTAAGAAAACAATGACGACCTGAAGGAACTGCGGAGTGGGCCCTGGGTTCACTTTTTCCTTGACCCTCCTTTTCCCTCCCCCTTCCCTCCCCCTCCAGGCTCCTTTTACTATTAGGCACTTGGGTGTTTGCTCAGTCATTCATCCTGTGGCCTGTGGCTGGCGGGAGAGAGGCCCAGCCAGGTGCTCCCTGCCAGGGGCACACCGGAGGGTGCGGCTCTGCCACGGCGGCTGGGCTGGGCCTGGCCGTGAGGCTGAGGGCCTGGAAGGCCTGTCCTTGCACCTGCCCTTCTGTTCCGGTCCCCAATCTCTCTTCCCCGGGCTTCCTCCAACTGCTAAGTGAGAGAGAACCAGGGCGGCTATAAAAACAGGCCCCAGGTTCAAGGTCAGGCTCCAGGCACTGGAAGCTGGGAGAACTGGGGCTAGACTTTTTTTCTGTTGGATTAGGGTAATTCCCCACCTTTGTTCCTGGCTGCAGGCCATGGCTCAGGAGAATTCCTGCCCCAAGTACTTAACCTCCTGCTGTAACTAACCACAAAGGCAGCGACTGTGCCTGCCTTTCAGCAGCATCTCTCACAGAATCTGGCACACAGTGGGGGCACAATAAACACCCACCTTCCTTCCTTCCTTCCTTCCTCCCTTCCTTCCTTTTGCTCTTTAGCTTCCACATATAAGTGAAATCATATGGTATTTGCCTTTCTCTGTCTGAGTTATTTAACTGAGCACAATACTCTTCCTTCCTTCCTTCCTTCCTTCCTTCCTTCCTCCCTTCCTTCCTTCCTTCCAACAGTGCACATTAATCAGTCTGCAACACAGAGGGCAGGCACTAGGCTGAAACTTAGAGGTATCTTTCTTCACTTTACAGCTAAGGAAAGGGGGACTCAGAGAGGTGAGGTGATTTGCCCAAGGTCACACAGCAGGTAACTGACTGAATCAATATATGAACCTAGTTCTTCTACCAGAGTTCTTGGATTTGACCCAAAGTGTGAAGGGAGTGGCCTACTGGGGAGATGCTAGAGTAGCAGCCCATGAGCTTCTGGGAAAATGGGCTGGACAGGGTCCCCAGGACCATCAAGGCCAAGTCAGGGTCCAGGGAGGTTTGATCTTCATCCTGTGGGCCACAGAGACCAGAATGCTGTGGGCCGTTGTAAAACTAAAGTGGTCTTAGGCAGAGGGCTTGTATCAAGTACTCAGTTTTCTTATTTGACAAATGGCCCAAAAGCATTCATAGGTGTTCCCGGTCCCAAGGTTTGGGCCTTGGAGTGAAACGTATGTGGGTTTAAATCCTAGCACTGCCACGTCATAGATGGGGACTTGGCAAATGATGCGATTATTCGCCTCTTCTGAGCCTCTGTGTCCGGCTCCGGGAAACGGGACTGATCACACTCATTGTGAGGGCCCTTGCGAGGGACAGAAGGGACAAGTTCCGTAAAGCACCCGCACAGTGTAAGCATGGCGGTGGCTGCTATTATTATTATCCCCATTAGCTGGGTCCTAGGGGGGTCAGGCCCGGAATCGAGCCCCCTCTCGCCCCCACTTCCTGAGTGTCTGTGCATGTTCCAAAAGCTCGGGCTTAGAATAGTCACTGTTGACCCCCATGAGTATTTCATAGTGAGCAGCATGAGAAAAACAAACAAACAAAAAAAGTGGCTGGGAGACAGGAGACCTGGGCCTAGCGCCAGCTCTGCCCTGACTCCTGACTTGCTGTGTGATCTTGAGTGAGTCACTGCCCTCTCTGGGCCTCAAACAGAGAGGTGGACCGAATGACCCTGATTGTGTTACTTATTTACACCAAAAAGAGCCTTTCATTTCTCATCTCAGCAACTGGGGCCGGAGATGGAGATCCAGCATGGGGCCCAATCCTGGAGCCGGCAGGTCCAATTCAGAATCAGACCAGGGAATGAATGCCCACCAACCAGGTCCACTGCCTACTTCCTGGAGCCTCCATACAATTATAGGGTGTCCCAAAATTCACGCAGGATTTGAATTTTGCGTGAGCATTAACAACAACAACAAAAAATAAAAGCCTAATTTTACTTGGTTTATTGAATCAGATTTTAATATCTGTTGCCCTTTGATTTCAATCCCTTCAATTTGATAAGCATTACCAAGTACCAATGATGGCCCAGGAGCAGGGACAATGAAGACCACGGCTTTGCATATGTGCCAGCAAAGCCGTGGAGGCCATTTACCTGATGTGCTATTCCATACATAACCCTATACTGTACACTTTATGAATCAATAAAAAATTTATTATGAATCAATAAAAATTTTACAATTTTTAATTATAAACCTGTGTTTTCTATCCAAATTACTTCTTGCGTGAATTTTGGGTCATCCTATATAAAGAATCCCTTGCAATACAGCGAGGGGGCAGATGTAGCAAATAAAGGTATGAGATGCCCAGTTAAACTGAATGTCAGGTAAATCATGAATCGTTTTTTAGTATAAGTATGTCCCAAATATTGCATGGGACAAACTTATACTAAAAAGCTATTTGTGTGTTGTTGTTTTTTTTGGAAGTTCAAATAATTCAAGTTTAACTGGGAGTCCTGTATTTTAACTGGCAGCCTAAATGCAGCCAAAGAAAAAGACTTGAGAAAGCTCTTTAGGGCTCATACGAAGTGCTCACAAAGGCATGCGGAGGGAGAAAGCAAAGTGCAGAGCGGTGTGGATACTACGCTTCTTGTATGAAGAGGGAAGGGGAGAGGACAGGAAGGGTGCGTGCAGAAGCCGCTGGAGACCCGGGCTGCTCCTGGGGAGGCCTCGGTGGCAGGCACAGGAGGAGGGAAACTTTTCACGGTGCCCTCTTTGTAGCTTTGGAATCTTGTACTATGTGAATACTTTTTCCAGGCAAAAAAAATAAATAAGTAACACAATCAGGCAGTTTTGCTCTGACCCAGCTCCCCGCACCCTTAACCTCCTGCATTCTAGAAATACTCCAGGGCTTGTGTTATCCTTGTCAAAATTCCTTTAGGCTGTTGACTCCTGTCTCATCCTGTCTGCAGCATCCCCCAGCCTGCAGGAGTGGGATGAGTCACAGCCACACACTCACACACACACACACACACACACACACACACACACACATGCCCATGAACCCACCAGCTGTTTGTCATCTATAGGCCTTCCCAGGGAAGATCCCCTTCTTTTTTTTCCTCTTTTACTTTTTTTAAAAATATATATCTTTATTGATTTCAGAGAGGAAGGGAGAGGGAAAAAGAGATAGAAATATCAATGATGAGAGAGAATCATTGATTGGCTGCCTCCTGCACGTCCCCCACTGAGGATCAAGCCTACAACGCAGGCATGTGCCCTTGACCAGAATCGAACCTGGGAACCAGCCCACAGGCTGATGCTCTATCCACTGAGCCAAACCATTAGGGCGGAAGATCCCCTTCTAGCAGTTGCCCCCAACTCAGCAGATATATTCTCTCTCTCTCTCTCACCTCTCCCTCTCTCTCTCTCTCTCTCTCTCTCTCTCTCTCTCTCCTTCCTTCCCTCCTTTTCCCTCCCCTAAAACTGTAATTCAAGTGAATTCAACCCTCCTTTATTGGGTGTGCCAGGCATTGTTCAAGGAACAAGGAAAATCTCCCAACAAATCTAAATGGAGGGATTACTAGAGCAAGAGGAGAAGTGTGGGGTGGGTAGGGGAGTAATTTTGTATATGTGTCTGCAGGGAGGAAGCATCTGGGAAGGCTTCCTGGAGGAGGTAGTACTGTGAAGAAAAAAAGTGCTCTCCTGAGCAAAGTCAGAATCTTTGGGAATTAATGAGCGGGTATTTATTGAGCACAATGATGTGTAGAGTTCAGTGTTCAGTGCAAGGATGAAGACAAAACAAGAGGCCTGCCAGGGCCTTCCCTGGCAGAACTTGTCATGCAGGGAGAAAACAGTGCGTCTCACAGAAGGCGGTGGGAACAATTCCAGCAGGATGTGCTTCATTACCATAACCGGGTGGCAGGGCTAGGGGTCCAGGAATGGTTACCAAGCTCCTGTGGGAAGGCCCTTATACATCTTTACATTTCACTCTCATTTTTCAGGTGAGGCTTCAGGCCCAGAGAAGGACAGGGAATTGTCCAGGTCACACAGCAAGTCAGTGGCAAAGCCATGACCAGATCCCAGGCCCCTGGCTCCCAGCCCAGGGCTCTCTACGCAGCCCCCCACGCCCTGCCTCCCACATGGCTGGAGCTCAGGTTGGCATCAGGGAAGGCTTCCGGGAGCAGGAATTGCCAGGCACTCTGACCCTGAGCAGTCCTTTGGCAGGGGGGCACAGATGTGTGGCACAAGGTGCTGTCCCAGGAAGGGGCCTACCTACTTTGTAACCTGGGGTGAGTCCGCACTGATTGGGCTCAGCGCACACTGTTGTAATGTACCCCGCGAATCACAGAAGGACGCCTCAGGAAGTCGAATGAAAGAGTCACATTTATTGCAAATTCGGGACTATGAGGGGGCATTTTGCTCTCCCAAATCTCACAGTGCCCTCCCCAGCCCCAACACCAGATTTATGTAGGCAAAGATCACAAAGGTATGGATTACATCCCAGCGTTTGGAATGAGGAACGTGGTTTGCCAAAAAAGCAGTTTACAGAAGCAGACTTAAGCATGTTAATTAAATTATAGTTTTGGGTCCCCGGATCACTGAGTTGACAGGGACACATTATCTGGAGCCCTCGGGCCTTGGGATACTTGTGCTGTCCTTCCCAGGTACAGAAGAATGTGCTTTCTAAGACCAGTATGGCCACAACCAATGGGATATTCATATTACAATCAATAGGGTATTCAATTGAATGGGATGATTTATATAATTCAGAAAATCAGAATAACTTTTCTATTGTTAGACAAAGCAAATAGGTACATAAGCCAAACAGCAGGGTTAAAGGTAAACTATAGTTTCTACCTGAGATGATTGCTAACATACTTCAACATGAATTTTGACAACTTCTTCAGCTGCCTGGTCAGGCTGATGCCATGTTTCGTGCTTTCAAATCTCTTGATAAAGATAGCACTGGACAAATTCAGGTGAACATCCAGGAGTGGCTGCAGCTGAAAGGGCGAGGGCTACGCCCTCCATCTTTCCGTAGGGCGAGGGCTATGCCCTCCATCTTGCCCCATTCTGCCTGTACTCAGAGGTCCACAGCCCTCTCATCAAAACATACAGGTTCCCTCCTGACACTCCTGACAACCCCACCATGAGCTCTCTTTCTTCCTAGTTAACACAAACATCTCCTTCAGGAACAGGTAACCCCTGAAGGCATTATCAGCCATTTCCACTTGAGTATAAATGAGTTATCAGACCCTGAGACGGGGGAGCTGAATGTAGAGTCCTGCCCCAAATGACACAGGACAGGTGAGGAGAAAGAGGTCCCTGGGCAGGGCTGTGCTCTGGGAGTGGCTGGGTGCAGCTTCCCATGGGTGGCCTGGGCACGGGGCCCTGTGTCCAGGTGGCACTGTGAGGGCAAGTGCCCAAGGTAGGAGCTCCAGGGTGAAGTGGAAAGAGCACCAACTTTGCTCAGTCTCCAGCCTGAGCTCTCCCTGCTCCTGCCTGCGTGGCCTTAGGGGAGCCCCTCCCCTCCCCGAGCTTCACGCACCTGTGCCATGGGGGACTGCCGTGTGTGTGTACCTTGCGGGTGGGGTGCTGGCGAAGATGCTCCATCCATGTGTCCTCAAACTTGAGGGGACATTAGAACCCCCTGGAGGCTCCTTCAGACATGTAGGCCGCACCCCGGAGCTTCTGCTTTAGTCAGACTGGGGAGGGGGCT